ACGACTGTTATTCTTTAACTAAAAATCTATCTTAGCCGTTAAATTTTCCTTAAAAGTTCATAAAATGCACTATTATCTTGAATTTTTACAGGTAATAAATAGTCAGCCAAATGTTTAGGTTTTAGAGGGGGGACGTCCTGCTCGAACAAAAATTGGCACTTTGAAGTGCAATATTGTGCAAACGGAACTCTAAATTGAGAAATAATCTTAGAAAATTCCCTTCTCAGGACAAGTTCCTTCGAAGACCCTTCTCCCTTCAAGGAAAGGACCTATTCAAAGATACCACATACGATGGGGTAGACAATGAAAAAAAAACATCTCCAGGTTACATGTAGGAGAGCTACTCTAAACATAATATTTTTCAAAATTTTATTCAACCATTTTGTTAGTGTGACTGTTATACAAATCTCCACAAAATTACTGCTCTCTAGTGCTAACAGTCTCCAAGCGAAACCGGGGACGGCCAGACGGACATGACGAAACTATAAGGGTTCCTTGTCAGGACTAACCCTAAAAATTTGGGGCGGCGTACGCATCATGCATATATACCTAGTCAGGTCATAAATTCTGTCACATGTTTAATATAAAATAATTGAAACAAGTTTATCCATTATGTATACCAAAATGATCTTAACAAAAAATGTACCTCTGTTAAGCCCCAATAAGAAACTCCCAACCATACTATGGGTGAGGATGGAAAATGACCTTTGAATGATGACGCGTTGGACACGCGGAATACGGTTGCTCACTTCTTCACTACTGTGTGCGTACACCTTATCATTTTGCTTCTTGTAGCTCTCTTCAACGTTAAAATTTTTTTCATCCGAATAAGAATTTCCCGATATTTTTTTCCCGCGTACCGCTTCAACAAAGCGCGGCATCTCTTCAGTCTCAGGTCCATTAGGCGAGCATTCAAACGATGTCCTGTTTTTCTTCGATATGCCCGAAGCCCTAAATCTTCATTTTACACCCTTTTCACCGTGGTTCTGCTTAACCCCATCTGAAGGGCCAACAGTTTCTGCTTACGTTTGGGATTTCTTGGAATTCGCGCCTTCACAGCCTTTATCACTGCTGGAGTCCTAACAGACCGAGGGCGACCACTTCTTGACCTGTCATCTACGCTAGAGTCTCCATTGTATCGTTTGATGGTACGATAATTGAATCTTTTGGGTATATTCAAAATTTTCAGTATGTCAAAATTTGAATTGGCGCGTGACCGCAACGATGCAACGCAATAACTGCAACACAGTCTTCTTTAAGCGTTCACTCCATATTTAAAAATGAGTAAAATTCTTAAAAGTATACATTTTTATTTTCATGAACAATTCGAAATTCGATTTCAATAAACTTTTTTGTGACCAGCATTCTAAAAGAAAAGTTTTTACTGTGTAAAAAATATATATATTTATATCCTCCAACTTTCGTGATCGTCGGAAAGAGCTGCGCACGTATCCCATACACACACGCATATATAAAATCGTAAGCTATAGCGATAGCCATAGAAATTCCGTTAGGCGATTGGCCCCCAGGTTTGGAAGCGCGCATCCGATGCGATTGGGTATCGTTATTGGATGATGATGCCATCTAGTTATTGTCAACGTTACTATAGCTATAGTGCCAGAAACTTATCTGTGCCGGTGCAGATGTCGATAGCGGTGAACAAATAATTGTCATAACAATCACAAAATGCTATGGATAAATTTTAGTTTAAAATTTTGTCACCGGCGCAGAAAGTTTGTGGCACTGGACTGCGTTCAAAACCTACGTTCGGAGTGCAGCTTTTTAGGTACTCATTTTAACAAAGCTATTTTAACAGTCGGGACCCATTATTGAAAAATATTATGTATTCTTGAATATCTAATGGTCCCGACTGTTAAAGTAGCTTTGTTCCTTATTAACAGAATTATAGACTACTGGACTTGTTTTTTTCTTTTCAGTTTTTATTTGAAGTATAATTAAGCAGTCAGGTTTTTTGATTTTTTTAATTTACCTCTTTTTTGTTTTAATCTAAGCCTGTAGGGCGCTTGTATATTGTTGCAAGTTTACCATGACTCTTAAACTTATGGTACAGAAATTAGAGTTTAACGTAAATTATTAACTTCTCAGTATTTCCGTCGCGTCTCTCCCGGTGTGCACTGCGTCTAAGGGTGACAACAGAACCTTATTACAAAACCTTTTCTGTCCACAAGTCTTTCCGTCTATCATCGAGTTCTATGATCTATAATAATGTGTCAATTAACAGGTGTAAAACTTTGTGAAACTGTTCTGTATCAAACACCTTAATAGTGAAAGAGGGTGAATATCAGAGTGCAAATGAACATCTTATTAGATATTCCTTTTATAATGTTGCTTTTAAGGGGTTCATTATATAGTGTGAGTGTGAGGGAAAGTTGTTTGTTGTTTGTTGACGCTAAAAGGACAATGTTAAAATTGGCCTAAGAACCAACACCAATTTGGCATTTATGATAATTCTTAGTATATTTTTTGCGATAATTATCAGTATTTAGATTGTCACGGACACTTCCAGTTAAGTAAGCTAAATTAAAAAGTTAAAAAATAATCTGAGACAGTAAATACCATTTTATGTGTATAATCTATGACAGCGCTGCAAATAAAACACTCTTTATTCCTAATGCCGGCACTTCACTAGGCTATTCGTATTTGCTATTTGAAAACTTGGCAACAGTCTGTCCTTTTCATTCCTTATTAAGCATGACAAGGACAAACTCTTGTCAAGTGAAGGGCCGGCATAAAACTCGTTACGCTGTGGTTGTGGTGCAGGCAGTTTGCATTCGTAGTAATCTGTGGCATTCGTGCATTCTCGTTTCCGAATACCTGTTGTGTGTGTTTATTTGCGATTGTTTTTCCTTTAATTGAACTATTTCGGCTATCTAATATGCCATCGATGTAACAAAAGAGTAGAGACCTTATTACCAAGTGCTAGTGAATCTGTGCCACTATATCCTGAGAGGATCATACTGCTAAATTATTCAAGAGCACCTGATACACATCGACGCTGCATATTTACACAATTATACAAATACCTACATGTGATAAACAAATAAATAAAATATACAATATGATAAAATTATGTGGAAAATAGTCAATAAATAAGAAGTTTTTATTTTATTCATGATTCCTACCTAACCAAGTTTTTCTTAAGAGTTATTCTTTAAAATAGCACTGAATAAAATGAATTAGTTGTTATATTAATTCACTTCATACTGAGTTCATAGGTACTAATACTAACTTTATAGGTTGACCTATGTTTCATTGAATATTAAATATAACCTCAATTTTTTTTTGTTTTCCTAATAATTTAAGTTCTCAGAAGTGTCCGTCAATAATTCTTGTTTTTATAGTCATTACCTTGTGATTTCATACCTAGAAACTAATATTTCATGATTGTTGGTTCTTAGGCTAACTATGTATGGACGCAGAACAATGTCCTTTGGATGTCAACCTTGAATTTCAAAAAGTCATATGAAAATTGTAGGCATCTATTGTGTGATTTGAATGAATGAATGTGAAATGGGTTTTTTGAAGCAAAACATTACTGTTGCAGCCGTTTGTTTTGAACAGGAGAGGAGATTATGTTATTACTATTAATTTAAAGATGAAACTAAACTAAGTGAGTGTTCTAAACACATACTTTAAAATTTATTTATAGGTCAATTACCAGTTAATCCGCTACTCTTCGTTGGTAATACAAGAGAACAATTTTACTATCAGAGTTTTGTTATTTTTTATGTCAGAACAACAATAACAACTGTAGAATATGTATTATCTATACCTACAAGCCACGTACGTAGTACATTGATTGCAGTTTGTTCAGCGTCGATAGTTTGCAATACGTTTATTATATTTTTATTGTTTAAGCATTTATCTGCTAGATGTTTAAATCTAAATCAGATGCACTGATCAATTATGCTATTGCGACCTTAATGGCCGTGTCGAATTTCTTCTAGTATCTTTTAGGTTGCAATATGTCATTTCAAAACACTACCCTTACTTTATCAAATGTTAAAAGAAAAAAAATGGAATCAGTTTTTTAATGAATTCAGTATTCAATTTCATTGAAGAGCTTCAATACAAGAGGTTCTCAGAGCGCTATTTACAAACCAATAAATTTAAAAGTATTAATTCCCATTATCTATTTTTGATGAACTTGGTAGAAAGGGAATTCACTCAACTTATCACCACTAGCCACACTTTCTGTGTTAGATTTCGGGTCAGGGATGTTAAAGACCAACATTTGTTCTTGATTTTACTAACAAAGTGGTTTAGTACTAACCAATCTTGTAATTGGAACATAAAATATTTCTAAAGATATAAAATACGACTACGTTATATTACCTCATAGAGCGAGCAATAGGTATGATGACTTACTTTTTTTCTTCGTCGCTCAGGTAGGTAATCAAAAGGACACGCGTTTTTTATTTTTTCACATAATATTACTGACATATAGATTTGATGGGTCGAATGGCGTCATGTCTTGGTACTGTTTTTGGGGCAACATCGGGGACTGCTGAGCTTTTTGAAAGAGCCGGGCTGGCAGGACTGATGAATGACCCCACACAAAATAGGCACTGGGTGCCGAGTTGCGGAAACAGCCCGCCGTACTGCTAAGGAACTGTTTTTAGTTAGAAGTAACATCACGAGCCCCCACTTCTAAACTTTGACGCGCTTTATCTTTATATTTTTTTTGGTTGATTGACAAAAGAAAAAATAAGTGTCCATTTTTTTTATATTATTATTTTTTAATAACTTAACTGACGGACTGGGATTACTTCGTTTACTTTACCCCCTCCATCAACCCTATTTGCTACAGGTTATGCTTTTAATTGTCGTGTTGGATAGGTTATAGCTTGATACCTGGGTCGGTTTGAATTTAATTTAGTAAAATTAATCATAAAATGCAATGAAATGCTATAAAATGCATGATAATACGCACATAAGGCTATTTTAAAGTTACATATAACTGATATACTCGTAAGTGCCTATTCTACAGCTGCAGAAGGCTTGTAAGTCGTTTTCAGAATTGTAAAGTACGACCACGAAGTACTTATTATCTGAAACAAACAAAAAATGCATTTCAACAACATTCAGTCATTGTGCTCTGAGGATTAAATTGTTCTTATTTGTATCTTAGGTTTTCACACACACAAACAAGTTTCAACGCTATAGATGCACTGATTTTGAGCGTTCGGATATTCGCTTAATAAAAGTCTTTCGAAGGTGGCTCGACAAAGTAAATAAAATCCTTATTCACATGACGCATCCTGAAAAGGAAGCGAAATGTCAATAAATAAATAAATCAGGGCATCTGTACCGTTGAAATTTCTTCTATATAAATTGTTCTAATCAAATTTAGACTGAAAGGCCTTATTACAAATACTACCACCGATAAAATTATCCAAAATTTACACATTTTCTTCAACCCACTTTGAGATCTATTTTGCTTGGCATAAAATTCACAATCTAAAGATACTTTGAGTAACTTGATGTGCTACAGATTTTAGATTCAAATGAACTATCAATAAGTTAAGAAGTTTAACAAGCACAAGTCGATCTAGATCTCTGGTCAATACTTCAAGTTTTCAATCAGAGTACCATTAAAGATTAATAAATCAATTAGTACCTATTCATTTCGCTCCATTGGGATATTTATCGATGGTTAAGGGGAACGTTAATAAAATACACTCTGCGATCACGGGGACGTTTAGAAATAAGCTAAGCTAATATTCTCATTAGATCAAAATTTCAAGCATTCCCATTTTTTAGGTCTTCGCATGTTTTCATTTTAGTTTTACGTGTAAAGTTCCATTATTCTGGAAAAAGTACCAGGAAACCATACATGACTATGAGGTTCTAGATATAGAAATGGAAAAGTAGTCTTGATTAATATCTGGTTATGAAAAAGCTTCTCACCAATACCGAACTACTGACACAAGCTGAGGCTCAATACGGTATTTGACAAGTTTTAGAAAACAATCTCACGTTATTGACTAATTTTTGTGGAGTCCGTAAAAAGGATATTCATCATTCTATTGTATATTTCAGTAAAAATAACCAAACCAAAAACTCCATTTTCAAGTTTCCGCGAAAACGTTTTTCTGGACAATATGGCGTCTAACTAGTGTGTTACGTCACACGACCCTTATTAAAACGTCAAACGATACAATGTTATGTCACTTTAACCGGAAGTTTATTTGCGTGTGACGTCATTTTAGGCTCCGCCAATGCCAAGCGTTTTGGGTCACATGATATGACAATAGATAAGAAAACTACGAGTATTATATTTTTCGTGGGTTTTTAGTAAAATTATGAATATTTTTTTTTGTAAAAATAGTAAAACCCCGGCCAATATTCAGTCTAAACACAGATGCTAACAATTGGCACTTTATTTTTAATACTGTCAAATACCCTATAGTCCGGGTGCCGTGTACAACCGAAAAATCGCAACTGAAAAGTTTTAATACTTCAGTCTACCGGACTAACAGCTGCTACTAGATGAGAAAACCTGTACTTATGGAATTTTAAGAAAACAGGTATTTCTGACAAACATTTCTATAATGATAAACAAATAATAAATATCAATTACATCACTCCTTTAGTCTTTAATTAAGTGTTTTGTTTATTTCTTTTGAAGAAGATAAAACGGGGTAGACGAATTGTAAGAAGTGGAATAAAAGAAATATCTACTTAAAATTCATTCTTGTGAGTGGGTACATAATATTACGTACTAATTTTAAAATTATTGTCTTGGAATAATACGACGAATCGTTCAGGCGTAATTATTAAACGGTGATTTAAATATCATTTCACTATTTAATAACGTTTTCACAAAATAATTATTCATATTGTGAAAAAGTGCGTTTGAAAAAGTCAATAATTTTGGCGGAAATTAAAAATCTTCTTTTTCTTAAAAAGCCTTATATCGAACTTTGCATTATACAGCCCCTATTAAAAAAAAGAATATGACCATGCGTTTCAGTTCAGTAGGCTGGCGCTCGAACAATTATAAGTAAAGTGAAATCTCATGTCCCTGTCGTGTTGATTGAACAATCACTCAGAACACTTCAAAAGAGCAAACTATCTTTTAAGTAATTTTGGATAGCGTAAATAAAAAAACGGTTCTTCGAAAAGTTTTTTTTATGTTAAGGGGATGGCAAACAAGCATATGATCTGCCTGATGGTAAGCGACCACAATAGCCTATAAATGCTAGCGATACAAAAATATCACTCATGCCTTTGCTTACCCTGACTCAATCCCCTACCCTGTTGATACTCACCGACAGGGACATAACACCACCAAAAATTAGGTTTAATACAATCCTCCATAAAAGTAAGATGTAAACTTAGATTACAACAAAAAGGGAAGATACGGCACTCGCGGCTCAAAAGTGATCCGCTTAAATTGTGGTGCATGACCACAATTCGCTTTAGTCATAATTGGACATTCAAACATGCTGCATGTGCACTCAATATAACAAATTGTCGTATATTCTGTGTTATAAAGATAAAACAATGCTTTCGATGCTTTTATAAAGAAGACAGCTAATTCAAAATCAAAAAAATCAAATAACAAATGCCTCGGCAACTTTCATTCGTAAAACTGTAAAAACATTTTTTTCTCAAAAATCACGGTTTGACGCGAATGTTATTTACGTAATCGCCATTTTTTTATCAAGAAAAGGACAACAATACAGCTTAGCCGTACGGACTCGGAAGCAGAGTCGCAGTTTCGCTCGCGCTGCGTTGAAGCGTGTAGTTCTGTCTCGCTCGCTTGAATGAATATTTATATACAAACGTGTGCGTGTGTGAGAGTTGCTTATGTAGAAGATTCGGATCATATTTTATTTGATGCCACTATAAACGTACCGTATCTTCCCTTTTAGCTTTAATCTAAGGATGTAAATACTTGAAATATCTCATCTGTTGTAAATTATGATAAAGAACAATAAGTAAGATAGAAATTTAAGAAACACAAATGAAATATTCGTAATTCAGAAGTTGAGGGTGGACGTTAAACAACTTTGTTTGAAATTTCTAATTTCAACAAATGATTTTCACCGCGAGTTCGTGTTTGACACGATATCTTTTGTTTCGGTGCGGCTTAAAACATCAAAACAAATTAATTTGTGATGCCTTAAATAGCATACTCTCGACGGTGAATTCTTAATTTATGAAGACACTGTCATATCACCAATTTGGTTCTGTTGTGAACTACACATATTTAGGTAAATTTTGTGTGATTTTTCTCCTCAATCAAACATGCGTCGAATGCCTGACTAACTTCCTTATTCATATCTAATAGTTAAACTTACGAATAAGAAATAATGTGTAAAAAATATAAATCTAATGTTGAAATTTATAAAAATATTAATTTGGTGGTTTAGATACCTACCTTAGTGAAGCTTCTGTAGCAAATCGTTGAAAATTTATATGCAGTCAACTTTTGATTTTTGTGCGATCTGAAATCAAATAAAACAGCAATTATAATAATATGTTATGCAGTTTTTCCAGCTTGTATTTAAACATTTCGTACATTCACGTTTAGCTCACCTTTGCATTATAATGAGTAATAACTTTTTAGATTCCTGATCCATGTTATACCAACTGCTGAGGTAAGCTGTTTCACCAATGTTACTGCTCTAAAAATATTTTATACGTTAAACAAACAGATCTAGTTTACATTTTAAGGTAGTCTATAAATTCATTTAAGTCCTGTATAGCTTACCATGCCCTTTAATTGAGTCTAATATATAAATATAATTAAAATATATATAACAAATTTGAAATTATAATATATTAAATAAAATGAAAGTATTTTTTTTTTATAAAATAGGGTATTAGACAAGTTTTAGAAAACGATCTTACGTTATTGACTAATGTTTATGGAGTCCGTAAAAAAGTGGATATTCATTATTCTGTTGTGTATTTCAGTAAAAATAACCAAATCAAAAACTCCATTTTCAAGTTGCCGCGAAAACGTTCTTCTTATTAAACGTTATTAAAACGTCAAACGATACAATGTAATGTCACTTTAACCGGAAGTTTACTTGCGTGTGATGTCATTTTAGGCTCCGCCAATTCCAAGCGTTTTGGGTCACGTGACAATAGATAAGAACACTATTATCTTTTTCGTGGGTTTTTAGTAAAATTATAAATATTTTTTTGTAAAAATAGTAAAAACCCCTGTCAATATTCATTCTAAATACAGATGCTAACAATTGGCACTTTATTTTTAATACTGTCAAATACCCTATTTTGTAAAGCACGAAATAAATTAATGATCTTATGTTTACTTAAGTACAGTAAGATATATATTGACAAAATGAAGAAACACCTTTTTGCCTCATTCTGATATCAAAATAATGCATTATATAAGAAAAGCGGCCAATTGCGAGTAGAACTAGCTCATGAAGGGTTCCGTAGCAGCAAGTAACATAATATAAAAGTACTTGTAGTTCGTGGTAACTTCGATCGATGTTTTAATAATAGTGTATTGTTTTAATTAATTAATTATTGAAAAAAAAAATTATAACTAGATCACGTTCAAACCAATTGTCGGGGAAGTTTGCAGGGTAATGTTCATCTTTAATTTTTTTTAGTTTTATCATTCTCTTATTTTAGAAATTACAGGGGGGGGGGGCACGTTTTACCACTTTGGATGTATGTCTTGCGTAAACTATTCAGTTTAGAAAAAGAAATATATTAGAAACCTCAATATTATTTTTGAAGATCTATCCATAGATGGGTTTGATGAAAAAAATTCTAAAATAATTTCATTTCTAAGTATGGTAATTTTTACCAAGTTCCAATAGTATTTTTTTTATATTTTCGGAAAAAAGTGGCTGTGACATACGGACGGACAGACAGATATGACGAATCTGTAAGGGTTCCATTTTTTGCCATTTGGCTACGGAACCCTAAAAACGGCCAAGTGCGTGTCGTGCTACGCGCAGTTTAGGCTTCCATAGTTGCCTGTCGTTACCGCAATATATTTGAGCAGGAATCTTTATTTTCTGTATCGGAATTTAAAAAAATCAATATCAAACTATGTATCTCAACTAAAATACCTAATGTCTTTTCAAGTAATTATAATACTTTTTATAAAAGCGTAATGATAGCGTGATTCAGAAGCCGTTGCCGTTGGTACTCGCGGTAGGTTCGTGAAACTAATGATATTTTATTATGGTTTTTTAAATAGCTTTTTTTTGGATTTTGTTTTTCAATGCAAAGTTTTACAGTACTATAATTTCATTTAAGTGACTATTATTTTTTCGTATAATTTCACCGTTTTACTTAAAAGTTCATGAAAAGCACTATTAATATGATTTTTTCCAAGTTTTTCAAGCCAATAGTTTAGCTTTTAGAGGAGAGGGGGCGGCGCACTACTCGTACAAAAATTAGCACTTTAAAGTTCAATATTTCGCAAACGGATTCCTAAATCAAAAAATAGTCTTGGAAACCCCAAAATTACTATAAAGGACCTATTCAATGACGACGAAACAAAAAATCACACGATAGGGTGGACGATGAAAAAAATATCACCCCCAGTCATCATCATCACATGTAGGGAAGCTACCCTAAAAAAATATTTTTCAAAATTTTATTCTACCATTTTGTCGGCGTGATTGAAATACATATCTTTACAAAATTAGAACTCTTTAGTGCTAAGTCTCCAAGCAAAACCTGGGACGGACAGACATTCAGACATGATAAAACTGTAAGGGTTCCTTGTCAGGACTACGGAACCCTTTTGTGACGAGGGGAAATGCAGTTACGCACCATACCGTGACGCTGACTAGGCGCACGGCGTGTGTGGGACTCGCCGGCACGGGAAACAGTGCCGACCCTACTCAAGCAGGACCAGTGCGGAAGGCCACACTGATCCTACTCCACTAAAACCCCCCGGTACTCTCCTACGCCCATATGAGGGCGGTCTCGGGGCCGACGCACCTGCGTGCGCCACATCTCCGAGCACGCCCCCGGGCAGGCCCGGCCCAACGAGTGGACCGGGCGACGCGCCTCAGGGGGACTGCGCTAGGGTACTAGGCAGTCCCCAGACGTGGTGGCCTGTGCCGGAGCGGCACCTAGGACGCGCGGCTGGTCAGGCCGCGCCCAGACCACCTTAGGGCCGTCGAAGACCGGCAGTCAGGACTACGGAACCCTAAAAAGGGTGATATTGTTAGGTATTTTGTTCTAACGGTAGGTATCGCAAGAAAGGGTAACTACTAACTTTAATAGGCTAGTTGACTCATGTCAAATTGCACTATACAAATGTTTATTTCTTATAATTTTTGGTATGAGGAACCTAAATACATTGATTTCACTTCATAAAATTAGAAGATGGCTGTAGTAATTTAATTTGAAAAATAGTTTTTTAGTCTATGCTTTTTAAACACTAAAAACGCTGTCCACCATGATTGTGACGTCAACATATTAGCAAACAACTAAACGTCAGTGTCGGGTTTCTTTCGTTTGACTAAAATATATGTAGAAACTCCTATAACTTAAAGAAAAGTTTCCGTTTATTGGTTTTGTTGACTAAATTAATGCTGGACGCCGGATTTGTAAAAGCAGAAACGACAAAACTCTTTGACTAGCAGCAGGACAAATTTTTGGATTCTTTAACGACGTGTTTCTATATTCTCGTATATTACAATCATGATAATTACTATATTTATCATGAAATCTATTAGAAATCATGGTTTTGTAATGTAAATTCAGATAGGTTATATCCTACGTGCTTGCGAGTGTTTGTTTACTATTTTGTTTCCGTCATACCATAGATAATAATCTATAGACTAAAATGGCCGACAGCGTTTTTGTATGTCCATGAAAAATCTATTTTAAAATCAAAGTTTTGTAGCTTTCTAGGTAAAAAAAAATACAATACATTTTTTTTTCGGTCCAATTAAACAATTATTAACCATTTAAATCATATTTTCAAAAAGTGTCAACTAGCCTATTACACTTAACATCGATCTGAGTGCAGCCGTGAATATCACAATAAAGATTCGAAAAAATATATAAAAATTAATACAATAAAATACAATATTTTTGTGAATTTAAGTGATTTATAAACGATTTTATGCAAAATACCTCATGAATTATATTCTCTCCGTAAAGACTCATCAGAAATATCTGAAGTAATACTGACATCAGGAATAAAACAGATCCAGGAAATTGAGTCCAGTCACCCATCTACAATAAAGGATGAAAATACCACAGTAATTTTTATACACTTTGGCTCTCTTGCGGCAAATTTTCTAAATCTCGAGTCAACCAAAACTAGCTTTAACCCATAGAAAAAGTGACAAGATTTCAATGTCAATTTGTATGAGACATAACTTGGTTTAGTTAAATTGTGATTTAACAAAATTGCTGCAAGTGGACCTTAAGCACTTTGAAGATATCTTACGTGGTTGTCAAAGCGAAAACATCAAGTTATTTTGAAACTTCGTCTTTCATTGATAAATCTGAGTGTGGTCGGTAAAGATTGTCGGAATATTGATAAAAAAACTGAATAAATAAATATTTTGTCTGGAAACCAAACGTCTGAGACGATACTCCTATAAAAGACAACCAAGTCTTGCTAACGTAAGCATAATTATAAGTCATCTTTGTATTTGTTTGTAGAAATGTTTTTTAAGATACAGTAAGTTATAGAAAACTGTACTATAAGAACTATATTTTTCTCTATATAAATGAAACAGTTTTCAATAGGACTGTATAAAATAATGTAGGTTTATTTTTAATCGTATTATTAATTGTATTCAGGATTACCGTGAGATTAAACCCAAGAGCGCATATTTCCACTGAGCCCACAAGAACGTTAAATAAATTTGGTAAACGGAATATTTCCTCCAAGTCTTCACTCAATCTGTAAAAACAGTACAAATTAAAATAAATGAAATAATTCTAAATGATTTTTACAGTCACGGTAGTTTGCCCTGATTGTTAGATATAATGAATGGTTACGATGAATTAGCATGATTACCTAAAAACGGTTTGATCATTGTACCTGATTGTTGAGTTCTTTAACTTTACTCATTACATTATTGGTGGACTTCTCATAATATTAGCGATTGCTGTAGCAGGGGACATCGCTCTTCCCCCCATAATGTTACTAATAATAATATCAATGTTTTTGCAGTGAAACTTCTTTCCGGACGGGATGTTAAAAAAAGGAAACGGAAAGGCGTCACGAGCGTCACACGCCATAATACATATATATATATATTGTTTTAAACTTTCATGGTCACTTACATTAAAGCTATTAACGGGATTGTTGATTTTTACCATTGTTACCATGTACCTTGTTTTTTACGAGTCTCCGATATTTCGGCACTATTGCAAGCGCCATGATCACGGAGTAACAGTAGTTACTCCGTAGTAAGTAACAGTAGTTACTCCGTGATCATGGCGTTACTCCGTTTTAGGGTTCCGTAGTCCTGACAAGAAACCCTTACAGTTTTATCATGTCTGTCTGTCTGTCCGTCCCAGGTTTTGCTTGGAGAATTAGCACTAAGGAGTTGTAATTTTGTTAAGATATGTATATCAATCACGCCGACAAAATGGTAGAATAAGAATAAGGTTAGAAACATATTTTTTGAGATGATTCGTGATCATGACGCTTGCAACAGTGCCGAAATATCGGAGACTCATAAAATCAAGGTACATGGTAACAATCCCGTTAATAGCTAATATATATATGTGTGAGTGATGCGTGCGCTGCTGCATTCCCCTATGCCTTATGCACCGCCTAATGTTAGATTATTTAAGAAAAGAAGTTTCACTTTAGATATGATTTCCGTGAACACAATTTTTGTTTATGTTAAAAGGATGGCAATTAAACCTATGGCCCGCCTGTTATAGACGCTTGCTATACCAAAAATATCACTCGCACTGTTGCCTCACCTGAACCAATGTCCTACCCCGCGGAGCCCTGCAATCTTACTCACCGAGAGAAAACAACAGAACCAAAAGGTAGTGTAATTTAACTGTGATCGTTCAACCATTTAACATCAATAATATACGTGTAGTAATATATATTTTTATAGAAATAAATGTTTAAAAATCTGCCAAATAAAAACTACATCAACAAGGAATACATTCTTAGGCAGTCAGACCCAATTTATTTATCAGCCATGAAATTTTATATAATAGTGATTGGACTTAGATTTAATAAAAGAATGGGTAAAACTATAGCCTGGCAGTTAACAATTCACAATTCTTTATTGAAAATGTCTCTCCTAACGAAATATTTTGTGTTGGGCTTTAGTCACAGGGGACATGCGCGATTAGCGACGATTATCTCTATCCAAATATACAATGCTGAAAATTCTGGCAACTCCTTCTATAAGCGGTTCGACATTAGAGAGCAAATATTTACTAATTCTAGAGGAGGGTGGGATCCAAATCGTAAGTTTTGTGACCCTCCCCAAAATTTCTGGCAGCGACCGACTCCCGGGCTCAAGAAGTAGAGTTTTGCCAAAGAATGTTGTGAAAATTCACTAAACGAAACTAATTAGAATATCGCAAAAGTTATGTTTGATAAAATACTTTCTTTAGTAGGTGCTGGTGCTTCTTGACTATGTCACGTATATTTTGCGAGTTCGTTTCGTTAAGGCATCGAATATCCTCCGCTAGCAAAGAGAAGTTGTTGCAGATATGAAGACTGAGCACGTAATAGAGGGCGTCTATTGTTGTGAACAATAACACACAAATGTAACCTGAAAGAAATGGATTAAGCTATTTCATAGATGAAACCAATTTTTAACGGGTTTTAAATGCTTGTTTAATGCCTTTTTTAAAGAACTCGACGTTTCGTATCGTTTTCAGGATGCATCATCTGAGAATGCGACACTTCGAGTTATTTATGATATTAGATGAATGCAACCATAGTCACGAGTATGTAAATACCAATCCGCACGAATGTCATACAACGTTTTCCAACACATTTTCGAGAAAACACTATACATAATTTAAGTCATAAAGCAAAATCTTAGAAGAAAATGGCGTGCATTTCCAAATGGCGCCATATGCAGGTGTTGAAAATTAGAACTACATCTTTCGTCTCTTTATCTTTTTAGTATTAAAGTGAGACAAAGGTATAGATTAGAAGCACTTCCAAGGAGCTTGGATCTACATAAAAAAGATACCGTAATGAATACGCCAGTGTATGACCCATAATTTTGAACCTCCATAAAAGCATTTATAAACATTTGTGTTAAAAATATGGATTTTAAACCCGTTAAAAAGTGGTTTTATTTAATGAATGAGTGTAACGCATGCGATTACGAAAATTTGGACATTTAAAAACTTAATAATGGTAATTAACTATAAATATTTGTTAAATTGCTATTTTTTCCACATATTTTGAATTTGATAATAATGTAAAATTGTGAAGTAATTTTCAAGTTTTAAATATTCTCAGAATTTAATGAATATAAAGTAATATAAAATTACCACTGCTAATTGCGTGGATAAAGGCAAGACTCCATGTTGGCCAGGTGTCAATTGAAAACGGTACTAAAATCGCATAAGACAAATAGAACACAGTTTTTCCTGTTTTGATGTAAGTGTATGACATGATCACCACCGAGGAAAAGTTATAAACGGACACCAGTACCACGTTCAATACAAAATAATACGTCACAAGATTCTTCATCAGTATTATTTTCTTTGTAATCAGTTTCTTTGCCGCCTGATTTTCTAAAGTTTCCGAATACAGTTCATTTAGAGACTCAGTAAGTTTGAAAATTTTGTGACGGTATGGAGTAATACTGATAATTTTTAATGCCGAAAGTATTCCGATACAAGTACACGGTGTTAGCTCTGTTATCTCCAATAAGTTTTCAGGGGAATATTCCACAAACAGAAATCCGCACTCCTCTGCTACCATAATCATCAAGCTGAATAATAATAAGTAGAATCGAAAATGTAGCTTCACATCATTGAAAGGTATTCCGATTAACCAGAAGTTGATTTTTATTTGTTTCACGAGTTCCTCAAAAGCAGGAATATCCATTTTGGAACAAAATCGGACTGTCACAATTGGTGTTACCCTGCGATGCCCTCTGCCACAATGAACCAAAATGTAGTTGTTCTAACGATCTTGTATACAACTTAATAAGTTTGTTTTACAGGGTTGACAATAAAATTAAACCTTCCTTTGTGGTTAGTATATTAATAAATGAAGTTGTTAAAGTCAAGAGCTTTTAACGTGTTAAAAGACATCAAAGTAGTAGACAATAATTTATTCTATTATGTATGTACATATAAAATATAATAGACACCAAACATGTCAAAATGCTTCTTTTATACTGGATAAAGGTTTAATTACCCTTATTCAGTATAAAAGAGGCGTCTAAAGAGGCAATTAAAGAGAGGCAGGGCACAGAGGATTTTCCGCTAGAATTGGAGCGCCCATCTGCGGCATCTGCAATCTCCACCTTACAGATGACCACAGTGAATAGCGCTTATTTTTGGTGGTGTTGCGTTTCTGCTGGTTAGTGATCCAGGGATCGGGTTCAAACCGGCAAGGTGAGGATGGCAAGGTGAGGAAGCTCAATGGCGCAGGTGGTTAGCACGTTCGGCTGCGATCGTTGTAGTTGAGCAACTTTCGCAGTGGTCGGTCATTGGATGGGTGACTAAAAAAAAAATTCTATCTCGAGTTCCTCCGTGCTTCGGAAGGCACGTGAAGCCCGTTATATTTTTTTTTCTTTTCTCTTTATTTATGGCTACAAACAGTCATACATTTTAATATAATTGTTCTGTGGTTACAGTGAAATTATAAAAGACGACCTACAGTGCCAGCAATTTAACTTATTAGTTACAGAAAAACATTATAGAACAAGTATTGTACTTAAAAAAATACATAAGAAGTCAAAACATATAAACATGCAAAAATATTTTAATTTAGATGTTGTCTTTTAATTTTAGTTTAAGAAATTTCTTCATATTACTACGTGAAATATTAAATACATCAATGTTATTGAAGTTATTATTGAAGTTACACTTCTTTAGCCGCGTTATGAAAAAATGATGAGAGTGAAATTTTAAGATGCGCGCGCATCACTGTAACACAATAGTAACACCATTAACCACTTAGTGGTTAATAATCCACCATTATTAGACATCTGTTCGAAAGGTACTTTGAACGATCCACGGAGCTCCATAAGATGATCGCGTTGTCAAAAACAATGTTGGCACGCTCGTCGCCTCTTATCACTGTTTTCATATTTATAATATTTATCCACATGTTTCTAGTTTAGAAACTAGTCTAGAAACTAGTCTATATAGATATAGACACAACGTGTTTTAGTTACTTACAAGTGCTAATTACATATGGACTAATAACTTAAATTCAGTAGTGATTTTAATTTAATATTTTGAATATTTATTTAATTTTTCAAATTAAAACTGAACTTAATTGACTATGTTAACTATCCTTTTCCAGTCCTTTTATTATTTTATTGTAAATATTAATTATTTGCATGCAATTAAAAAATATTTTTAATGATGCTAAAGAAGTATAACTTCTCACGCGCGTACATAAGTTACACGCATCCATTTTTTTATAATTGTTTTTTATTTATTTTCTTAAGGTGCTAATGAACTTGTAATGTACGCATTCTTGCGAATGTTACATTACAGAAAAACAAACGAGTGCGTTTCAGCGAGCATTCTGTAGAGCGTTCTGGTGAGCATTCTAGCGAAAGGACATTAAATTTGCTTCGAATTTTTGCCGAGCCGTTTGTAGCGATGTCTGGCTTTATACTTGGCTCTGTTTGTTGTTCAGTTCGACAAAAATCGGCGAATGCTCGATGTTCTGTTACATGTGAATGTTCAAGTTTATCAGCACCTTTTAAACAAGATATGGTTGAGATACTTAACATTTTCAACACTGATTAAATTTTTTAGCATATAATTATTTGTTGTTCTGATAGTCAAACGACAAATTCGCATTTCGCAGTATTAAAAGCATGACAAGCAAAATAATATCAAAATACCAGCAATTTTGACAACATTCCGCATTTCAGAATATTTAAAAAATTCCTGAAATTTTGTAGATTCCAGGTTGACTTTCGAAGAAATCGTAGGATACTGAGCAATGTTACCGATTATATTTTGTTACAATTTTTATTTATATTGCAAATGTTATCCTTTTAATATTATAAATGTGAAAGTTTATATGTTTGTTACTTAATCACACAAAAACTACTGATCGGATTTGGATGAAGTTCGGTACGCACATATTCTGTATAATAAAATACCAATGCTGGTAACATTTCCGCATCCGCTTTCATCCTTGCCACGCTCGCTGGCTGTACAGTCATGCCGCAGTCTTATCAATGTAAGCCATTTTATATATTCAATAAACTAACATTTATAAAGAAGTATTCTATTTGCCTGGCTACCCTATTGCCAGGAACTCGTAATCATACAACAGACCCGGATTGAGACACAGGATTCTTTTTATCACGGGAAAATGTTAGGTTCCTGAGGTTAAAATTCTGAAAAACCTAAAGTTAGCGCGGACGAAGTTGTGGGCGGCCGCTAGTAGGAATTTATTTTGTTCAACCCTAAGTATATTCACAGTTGGCCTTTAAAATTGTTCTATGAAAAAACACGAATAAGCAAACCGCTTATCAAAACGAACATTTATCAGTAAGGGTGTGTTCACGAACATTCTGTAAAAAAATTACGCGCGGATCCGATGTGGATCCGCCAACGATAGTTATTTAATATCGTTTTAATATCGCGCAAATTTATATGGGAAATTCGGATCCGATGCGGATCCGCGCGTGAAAATTTTACAGAATAGCACTGCACCTTTTCGATTTGATATTGATAGCTGGTCTGCCTTCTTATCTAACATACAAGTGCTCTTTGTCAGCTAGCATTTGCTGCACCAAAATTATGACGTCACGTCGTGTACCACGTGTCGATATCAATATAACTAGCATTCTTGATTTTGTCTGCAATTGTAGTTTAAAATAAAATGATCATTTACTATCTAAATATAGATATATTTTTTAATCAGTAACAAAAATTTCATAGCAGGTGCCCATGATATTGTCAGTAATCCTACTTAATTTATAATTGCAAAAGTTTGTAAGGTTGTTACTCAATCACGCAAAAACCACTAGCCTGAAATAAGAAAAAAATTAGGAAAATTGTTAGGTTTCTTAGGAATTTTCAAAAATTTTTCAATATCCATATCTTCAAATTATTTTTTGCCTAGTTACGAAGCTACTCTTATCAAATTTTATTATGAAGTAAGTGGTCCCAATATATTTAAGGTTCAGACTATTTGAATGTGTGGTTAATAAACATCAGGTACTGCATCAAACAATAACAATTCAAAACCGATACCTAAAACGTTATTGGCAATATGATATTCCAAACTCAAACGAGCCATTTGAAACTGGGACCTCAAATATGGGCACTCCGAACTCCAACCGTAACAAATAATCTTGTGACTATAGGAAATAAGAAGAATTTCCTTAAGTAAGAAACGAAGTTCCTGTGAAATGTACCTATAAACCAATTGAAAATTAAGTAATCACCTTAAATATATAATAAGACACGGTAAAATGTGAACGTGAATATCGACGGTGGAGAGGAAATCAAATGAAGCGCCATTTAGTCAATTGTTCAGCAGAGCTGTTTAAATTTTAAGAAAAATAATTATTATAAATTTGATCTTTATAAATGTTTTGTTTTTTATTTTGTTAGCAGATATCATAAAACTGTCTGTTTAAAGGGAGCGAATTTTTGAAATATTTCATTTTTTACTTTAAATGAAAAGCCAAAAATTGCTTCCAATTGTCTTTTAACCTAGACACATCTACAGAGAATCCAAAACCATATAGAACTGTATTTAAAACTTATTTTTGACCAAAGTGGCATTTTATTAGTTTTTCCTTTCCATCGTCGATATATTTGTATGTTTATTTACTCAATCGCGCAAAAACGGCTTAACTAATTGCGTTGAAATTCGGAATACATATATTTTATTACCTAAATTGAGTTATTAGATACTTTTAATCTTGGAAAAAGTTAAAGTTCTGTGGGAATCCCAAAAAACTAACTATAACGCAGATGAAGTTGTATGGGTGCAAGCTAGTTTCTATATAAAACATGGAAATCAAAACATTATCAATAAGGAAAGTCGCTTAATATGTAGAGGGCACTGTGGACTGTTTATTACAAAATCCCTCACTGTTAACAGCCAATTACTGCCATAAATGAAACTATTCATTACGATGACAAATGTATCCCACCAAAACATTTTCATGTAAAATGTTGCCAAGACGAGACCCATATGACTCGCACTGTCAAAAAGTTATCAGATCTCATGCAGAGCTAAGCTTCTAATTCTACACACTGTAACTCTACAAGGCCTTACTTCATCTACTCTAAACCTTAGTCAAAATATGTGGCTTGGCCATTTCGTTACATTCGTAAGGAGAAAAATTTATCCACTTGTTTGATAGTTTATGATATCTTAAAATGTACCAAAAAATAATAGAAAAATTTAGGTTTTTTTTTATTACTTTAAGTTGACCCTGACCCTCTCTTCACCAACCATGGACTTCCTAAATTTCAAAAATTTAATTTGGTATCGAATTCAAGAAAAAAATAGTCTTCGGAATTTTAAGATTTTTTTCTGTATTTTAGTGAATATTAAAAGAGGTTTTATCAATTTAACGATGTATTGGCATTTTATTTTATGTATACTGGCATGATTCTGTGCGTTCCAAATTTAAATTTTGCGGACAACTCCACGAAATATAGACACGAACCACGTTATCGATTCGAAAGGTGTATGATAGTAAAATATCAAACATAAAACGGCCAAGCCACGTATTCAGGCTAAGGTGTAGAGTTTGTGGAGGAAGCACGTGAAGAGTAAGAAGCTTGCCTCTATATGAGATCTGATAGCTTTTTCACAGTGCGAGTCATATGGTCTCGTCTTAACAATATTTTAATTGAAAATGTTTTTTGTGGAATTTCATGTTT